CTACTATTATAGACACTACTTCTATTTAATGATTTAAATTATATAATTATGTATCATGCAAACTACAAATATATATAAATATAACTTTCTTAAAGAATTATTTTAAAATGTAAACTTATGAATTGAGGCCTCTAATATGTAATCCCCAATCGGCGCGGTCTCCTGAAGAGTATATTTTGCCAACCAAAAGCCCAGTGGTCACCCAGTGAGTGCTCCCCCAGACCACACACCCCTCCCTCCTCTCAAAGGAGGGAAAAAAAGGCCCTGAATTTCGTTTAACAAAAGATTGAAATTTGCAGATTCATTTCCAACTTCTTCATCGTTCTGTGACTCGTGAAAAGAGAGGATGAAAAAAACCTGCGTCTTTGAACAGAATATTCAGAAACAGTCTCAGAAAAACAACCTCTTACAAATAACAAAAACGCAAGCTTCCACCGTTTTCCTGTTTCCAAGAGCACAACATCCGAAAGCTATCATCTATAAATACAATTCTGATCACAGCACCGAAGCCCTAAAATTATTTGGGATTACAAAGTACCAAGAATCCAGGGAACATAAGAAGACGGTGGCACGGTAATATTGATATACCTGTTTTAGGTGCTGGAATTAGTAAATCTCATCATCAGGAATATCTGGTGTCAAGAATTTTGCTGGGTTTTCCCTAAATTGATCAGCAAGGGTTGAATTCACCCTTTCTGGCAGAGGGGCTAATGGAATAATGCTATCTTTATCAATAACTCCGTCAATTATTCCATATTCAACAGCTTCAATTGGAGACATATAATGGTCTCTGTCAATATCCTTCTCAACTTGTTCAATCGGACGACCAGTGAAGCCTGAGATTAATCTAGTGACATTAATCTTGTTATTCTGAAGCTCCCGTGCTAGAATTTCTACATCAATTGCTTCTCCACCAGCACCTCCTCGAGGTTGATGCATCATTATCCGTGCATTGGGCATTGCAAGACGCTTGCCTTTGGTACCACCACCAAGTATAATTGAAGCCGTTGATGCTGCAATTCCAAGGGCAACTGTGGAAACATCAGCCCTTACAAGCTGCACCACATCATAGATGGCCATACTAGCACTGTTGTGAATGGCAAAAGCAGTAACAGATCAGCAAAGGTGTGTCAAAAGGAAAGTCTAACAGGAAAATGTCTACTCTGTCATCTGTCAATAATCATTCAATCTGAACATCAAAAGTAATGAGTGAACACATTTCTTCACACAGTCAAACCATAACAAATTTAAGCTTACAAGTGACCATAGCAGCATGAGGTTAACTGCCACATTGAAAAGTCCAATACCCTTTGAATCCTAACAGATCAAGTAGTATATGTAGCTAACATTAAAGACATGCTAGGGGTGGAATGAAAAACCAAAGTAATGAAATAGAGGCGGATACAGGAATAAGAGGCTATTCTTCAGCATGATTATGAGGAATGAGTATTGGGTAAATATTTTATCTCCCACATTTGGTGTACGAACACAACACACAATAAACCCAGAACAAATTCTAGAATTACAATCTTTTCCCTTTACTTGAAGAGATCATCCTTCAAAGCCAGGCCTGAACTGCTCAGCCATTTAAATTTGCTAATATTCCAAAGAATGGGAGGTGGGAGACTAATGCATAGCTTGGTGGGTACAGAAGCAGAGACAGCTAGCAAAATGCTTGTCAGAGAGGTTTGTTTCCAAACCAAATTCTCCAATCAGCACTTCAGATGTCATCAGAGGCAACCAAAGTTGCTGAAATTGAGAACCCAAGAAAAATACAAATTTGCATACTTTTTAGAGCAAACATAGCTTACTTATTGGATGGTGAGTGAAGGATCTCTTAAACTAGAAAAATCACAAGATATGCATATCATTGTAATCAATTCTCCATCTTCTCTTATTGAGAACATTAACTAGCTCTAGCAAACTTGTCAATGGAAAACTGAACGGTACCCTTTTTCCTCACACTGGAATTACAACCCATGAGAAAATCTATGCAGAGGAAAACAAAGGAATTTCATTTGTCCTAAGTCCTAAGGCATCAAAGATTTATTAAAGTTAAATGCTTTTGATTAATCTCCAGACCAAGTATGAAATTGCCAAGGAATGCATAAATTACATATAGGAGTAAAATCAGCAACTAAGCTAGCAGGGCCCCAAATGCCAAAAGGAAAATAATTCAAAAAATAGTACTTTTACTCTTCAAATTCATACCTCAAGGAGCCACCAAAAGAATTGACAAAGAGTCTGATATCTTTCTTCGAGTCCTTAGCATCCAGCAGCAACAACTGACTGATAATTGCATCAGCCACGAAATCATCGATTTCGCCCCCCAAGAACACAATCCGTTCCTTGAGCAGCAGGCTCATAGCGTCTGCTTCCGCCCCTCGCATAGCCATCTCCTGCGTCTGGGAGGCCGTGATTTGGGAACCGAAGTCATGGGAAACGGTTTTGGAGAACCTGGGGTATCGCGAAACGGGATGGTGGGATTCAAGCGAGGTTTTGAGGGTAGAGGAGATGGGTTTGAACGAAAAAAGGGAGGACTTTGGGGTGCAGAGAGAGGGTTTTAAGGAGGAGAAAGAAGGGGTTAGAGGAGTAGAGACGGAGAGCATGTCCATAGCGGCTTGGGAGGAAGAGAAAAAGCGAGTGATTTGGGTAAAGATGTTCCAACTCACAGACTCAGACGAGCAAAACACCAAACAGCTATTCAACTCTTTCTTTCCCTGGATTTTCTTT